ATACCCTGTTTATGACAAGAAGCTCGAAAAACCATACCCTGTTCAGCGGATCATCCCCGTATAGTTCATATATGGGAGTACCCCCCCCCCCCCCCGGGTTTAAAGTGCATGGGTGGTTTGTTCTGCTAACTGGATACCTCTCACTGGTACTGGTTCTGTGGTCATGTGTTCCATCCTTTAGACCTGCCTTACAGGAATATACTGACTAAGAGTTTGTTGGTGCCAAAAGCAAGGCAAAAGGGTGATGGAAATCAAGACCCTGAGGGCCAAGTAAGGGAGTTTTTCTCCAGTCCCCCCTTCCCACCCCTTAAAGTTTTTTATTCTCTTTTTTCCCTCTCCCTTTCAAATAATTAACTTCTGAATTCCAATTTGATCATGGAATGAGCACCACAGGTTTGTCAACCACTGGCTAATTTATTGCTACCTTTGAAAACAATTAAGACAATATTTTTATTTATCTGTGAGTTAAATCTATTTATTTCATTTCTAGGGCATGTTAGAACTCTTTACAGGTCTAGGATTCACACTAGGGCCATTTGCAGGAGGTGCATTATATTCAGTATGTGCTGATCAGTATTTATTGTTCATAATTAAATTGCAATCAGTGGAAGAGCTGTGGAGAACCATCAGAAGAGGAGATCATGTAGTTCCAGAAATTATCCATGCCCATTAACTGCACCCATGGCACTGCGCTGCAAATGCACGGCCTCTCACCAATGCGGCCCGAGTTTGAGTTCTGCCGATCTCGATGTTGTATTTGTTGGTTCTCTCCTGTGCTTCGAGGGTTTTTCTCCAGATTCTCTGGTTTTACCTCCCTCCTCAAAAATCAACTACTAAATTCTGATTAGATCTTTGGGCTTTCACCAACTTTGGAGACTAGCTCTGTTGTGATTATCCCACGCTGTGATACAACAGCTAAAGGTAGTAGGACTGCCACCCCTCCCCCCAGTCAGTAGTAATGGCCATGAATAACATTGAAAGTGTGTCGAGGGGGTGCTTAAATTTTATAATATTGCCAACTGAAGTATGTCTAGACTAAAAGAGGGGTAAGTGTTTAAGATGTTTAAGATGTTTAGAGAATTAGTGAATTTTAACAAAAAGTGTGAAGGCTACATGCAGCCCTTCTTGGTATCTGAATGATTATTTTGTTTGATTAGCTTGGTGGTTTTCGTCTTCCACTGCTTGTAACTGGTGGCCTCTTGCTATCAGCATTACCCATGGTGTGGCTGTTTCTCCCAAGGACTGGTGAGTGGAGGTTTTGAAATTAGAGAGAGATTTAGGGACCATTCTTTTTTTACCAGGGAGGGGAGAGGGGGTGGGATTTTGTTTTTTTCGGGGGGGAAATGAAAGTTGGGGTTGGGACTCAAGGGGAGCACACACAAAAGAATTTGAGTCACACAGCTCTTTTACGAAAACAAATGTTGAAAACTTTTTTGCTTTTTGATAACAAGGGGGGGGGGCGTTCAGGGTTTTTATGGGTTACCAAACGAATCTGTTATCAAGGAATTCTTCGATTGCATGTTACGTCATCGTAGCCTCTCGAGGAAGGGTTGGCGCCATTTAACAAAAGATTTCTTAATACTATTTCAATGAAATAGTCAGATAATAGACACATTTATTATCTGTCAGTCTCATTGTTTCTTTAATAGCTTGATTTTATTAACTATTTTTTCTCTTTTATAGTTTTAATATTTTAGATTCTCTATATTAGTTATAATTTTAGGTTTTCCGTTTATTATATATTATTATTTTGATGAGGTCCTTTTTGAAAATCATGATTATGAAAAAGTTATCACAATACAGATTATTATTATTATTGTTATTAGCATCCATTGTTAACAGCACCACAATGGCCGCTATGCTTTTGTCTTTTGACTCTCTTGGGAATGCTTGCAACCCATCGATCCAACAGCATTCTATGAATAAGCCTGAAGCGAGATGACGTTTTACCCCCGACTCTATACCGTAATAGTTTTTAAAATTCTTTCATATTAAAATTTTTGATTCCTTAGAGAATACAGGAACAATAGTCATAATTAAAGAACAAAAGCAATGTGAAAAGGAATATTATCTAGAGACCGGGACAAAATGTCATCTCGCTTCAGGCTTATTCGAAAGAGGTCTATTGGCAATAATGTCTACTTTATTCATTCATATTTTTTTAACAGATTTTATTGAGAGTGAAAACAAAAAAGGTAAAAGAGTGTGGAAAGAAGCACTGGGAATTCCTGGGGTGATTGTTTTGTGTAAGTACACAGTATTATTAAATACCTGAAATTATTTGATGATCGGGTATTGGATGGCATCCTCCAAGCTCTAGCCACTTACTGAATGCACATTCAGTGCTTGAGGTCCTTAGCTAATTTTTCCATCCATCCCTTCATTTATGTGTCTGAAAATAAAAACCTTTGAAGCATTTGAAACCTTATTAAAGTCAATCGGAAGATTGAGTTTTGATTTTCAGGGACTTCCCGTCCAGAATGATACACATGCCATTAATGTTTTCAAATCAAAATTTTGGGTTTTTCTGGGTAAATAGTTTGCACCCCCCAGCTGAGTTTGTTGTTTTCCTTTAAAGGGATTATGGGTCAACTATTTTTGGTTAGCATTTTTCTAGCAGGGACTGAGTACAATGCAATTTTCTCGTGTTGAATGAACTAGAATTCCAGCAAGGGTTCAACTAGTAGCATTTACGATAAATTTAAAGAATAATAATTTCATATTTCATGGGTTCTCTTGGCAGAATCATGCTAATCAAAATATGATGTTGAATCCTCAATTCTGATTGGTAGACCTTGAGTTTGTTCTGAAGGTCAACTCAGCTGGCCTTGATGCTCAAAATACATTTTATTTGCTCTTTAGGCGTCGCGATGTTTGTTGGTATCATTTCAATATCATTCCTTGATCCTACATTACAGCCGCATGCTGAAAAGGTTAGTCACTAATGCAGGAAAAGTACCTCAAAGAGTTCTTGTATTGAACCCCTGGAAAACTTGCGGTAAAAATGAAGCTTTTAAACACCACTACCACGAACACCACCAACAAGGCGCGCTTGGCTCAGTTGGTTGAGCATGAGAATAGATCTTTACGTGGCTCAGATGAATGGCGGCCCTGTCTCTCTACATTAGTTAGCTTGCGTTGGAGAGACGTAAAAGTACCAATAAGTCCCACGTCAAACAGTGAAATTTCTATGTGCCGAACCTAATGGCTTCAAAAAAGACCGCCTTATTATCCAATTGTTTCAGCTCACGTGAAGTTCGACGTTTGACCTGAGCCTAAGGATGTAAAGAAACCCTGGCAGTAACCACCTTCAGTGTCTGGCCTTTAATAATGATTTCTTAATAGAATGATTGTGGGATGAATATAGAAATTTTAAGGGGGTTGCCCGAAATTGTGCAGTGTACCTCGAAGGCGACCTTGTGTTCTAAAGTGTAACACGGGTTGCGTGGCGACCTGTGTTTGAATCCCGGGCTTGGTGTCATGTGAATAGTTGCTTGTTGGTTCTCTCCTGTGTTTCGAGAACTTTTCTCCGGGTTCTTCGGTTTCCTTCCCTCCGTAAAACTCCACTTCTAAATCCCTGCAATCGACGTAAAATAAAATGACATTTTACTTTTATACTGGTTTTACAGCCTGCAGGCGAAATCTCTAACATCAAGCACACACACACAAAAAAAAAAATTCACTTTCAACAGCAATATCATCATTAACATTACCATACGATAGCAATAGCAGTAGCTTAGCAATACAGCAATATCATCATCTCCATTACCATACGATAGCAGTAGCTTAGCAATGCAGCAATATCATCATCTCCATTACCATACGATAGCAATAGCAGTAGCTTAGCAATACAGCAATATCATCATCACCATTACCATACGATAGCAATAGCAGTAGCTTAGCAATA